AGGGAATCGAGTACCCATAGTCATGTCAGAGGTGTGTTGTAATTCCAGCTCCCTTTCTTACCAGCTGGGAGACTGGGTGAGTTACGGCACTTCTCTAAATTCTAGTTTCTTGACCTGTTTGGTTCTGCTATTGGCAGGGCTATTGCAAAAACAGGAGGAAATAGATGGTGTTTGGTCAATGTTCTTTAAAAATCTCTGTCCAGTAATGGCCTCTAACAGGAGAGAGCTTTCTCTGACAGTTCAATACATGGCGAAGGGGGGAAGGTGGAGTTGTTGGGAACTGTTAGCTTTCCCAGTCGTTCTCAACCTGGGGTGGGTTTTGCCCACCAGAGGACATTCAGCAATGTTTGGAGAAATTTTTAATCATAATCAGGGTGGGTAGCAGCCAGCAGGCTACAGGAAACCCTATAGTACATAGGAAACCCCTTCCCAACAAAGAGAAATCTCTGCCCTACATGCCAGTAGTGCCAAGGTTGAGAAACTGGCTTATCCAATAGGGTTGGTTTCCATTTCTTGGATATCTTTCTCTCTACTCCATTCATTGCTGACAAAGCTGAAAATGTTACTGTACTAGAATTGCAGGGTTCCAAACTATTATTCAGCAGTAACAAAGTTTTGTATGACAAACTATGGCTGGTCACAGCTAATCTTTCTTTGTTCTGTAAGGATCCTTAAAGTAGTCCTCCCTGATCGCCTGTTCCTCCACAGAAAATTTAGGGCAGTCATCTCCCCAAAGTATCTTTACCTTTTGATTCTGGTTTTCTATCCTGTTACTATATTCTTTGAAAGTGGTACAGAATTAATAAATATATATAGACTAGAGGGCCGGTGCATGAAATTCGTGTGCAGGTACGGTCCCTAGGCCTGGCCTGCGATCAGGGCCATCTTCCCCCGCTGCCTGGAGCCGGATCTGCACCCCCACCCCCGCCACCACCCACCCCTGATTCCCCATTCACCATCAGGTGATCAGAGCCTGCCGGCGTGGGGGAGGAGCCAAGAGGTGGTCATTGTGCCTCATAGTGACTGGTTGAGTGGTCGTTCTGGTCATTCTGCCGTTAGGGTCAATTTGCATATTACCTACCCTTTTATTATATAGGATAGTACAGCCTTTCCACAGGTGACCATTTTAGTGACCCCAATAGGTGGTCATTGTTCTGTTGTTCAAATATCTCCTGGGATTGATTTTTTTTTTTAATCCTTCAGTGAGCAGCACATTTATTTCATCACTAGATGATGTAAAGGGAGTGATTGCGCAGGTGTGTGTTGCAGAAATTATTTACCATTTTAGCCTGATGATTATCTTATGAGTATCCAAGTCGGCATCTGGTGAATTCAGATTTTTTTAGTCATAAATGTGATCCTCAAAGTGTGATGAAATAATGGGTTATAATGGGAAAGTTGGTCACCTGGTGGTTCTAGGAAGAAGGGGAAAGGGTATCACTTATTAAATGCCTGCTTTATGCCCTTGCTTGCTTTATCTCATTTCATCTTTACCAAAAAAACAAACAACAAACAAGAAAAACAACCCCAGGAAACTAAAGATGATTACAGTTTATGCTTTACAGATAAGCTGAAACCACATGGCTGCATTTGTACACGTGGTATATGTAACTGCAGAGACATGCAGCTGGTGAGGGACAAGGGAAAAATGAATTTGCCTAGCAGGGTGGGTCTCTGCTGGAGGAAGGAAGAAAGGAGGAGGCTTAGGAGGGGGTTGAAATGGAAAGGAGATTTTGGAGAACGGAAAAGGGTATTACTTACTGAATTAACTACAGATGATTGGCTCTAATGATTGGTGGAATGGAGCTCTCTGAATTTTTTTTTTAACTTTTTTTTTATTGATTTCAGAGAAGAAGGAAGAAGGAGAGAGATAAAAATGTCAATGATGAGAATCATTGATCAGCTGCCTCCTGCATGCCCCCCTATTGGGTATTGAACCCACAACTCAGGCATGTGCCCTTGACCGGAATCGAATCTAGGACTCTTCAGACCGTAGGCTAATGATGCTCTAGCCACTGAGCCAAACCAGCAAGGACTCTCTAAATTGTTTTAACATTGTACATGTCCTCTTCATTTGAAGTAAAATAGTACCTAAGAACTTTTTCTTAATAGCTGCCTTCATATTTTATCCTTATAAAATACCAGTCAGAAAATTATAAAATAATGCAAATAGGCTAATAGCTACCACCCTAAATATAGGCTATCTTCATTTTATTTCTTTTAGTTTTTTTAATTGTGATAAAATTGGTATACAAGCCTATATTTATTTCAGCTGTACAATATAATTCAATATTTGTATCCACTACAAAATATTCACCACTGTAAGTCTAGTTATCATCACAATACAGTCTATCCCCTTCATTCCTTTTGCTCTCCTTCCAACCTTTTCCCCTCCAGTCTGTTTCCCTGAAATCTATGGTGTGTTTTTTTGTTTTTGTTTTTTTAAGATTCCACAAATGAGTGAAATCATATGGTACTTGTCTTTCTTTCTTTGATTTATTTCACTTAGCATGGTACCCTGTGTCCCTCCATGTCGTTGCAGATGGCACAATTTGCGTCTTTTATGTGTGTGTGTGTGTGTGTGTGTGTGTGTGTGTGTGTACTGATTTCCGAGAGAGGAAGAGAGAAGGGGAGAGAGATAGAAACATCAAAGATGAGAGAGAATCATTGATTGGCTGCCTCTTGCACTCCCCCTACTGGGAATCAAGCCACAACCTGGGCATGTGCCCTGACCAGGAATTGAACTGTGATCTTCTGGTTCATGGGTCGATGCTCAGTCACTGAGCCACACCAGCTGGGCAAGATTTCCTTCTTTGTTATGGCTGAATAATACTGTGTGCTACATCTTTATCCTTTCATCTAGGTTGCTTCCATATCTTGGCTATTGTAAATAATGCTGCAATGAACACGGGTGCAATATATCTTTTTGAATTAGTGTTAGTATTCTTGGGATAATTACCCAGAAGTGGAGTAGGTAGGTTAGATGGCTCTATTCTTAATTTTTTAAGAAATTGCCATATAGTTTTGCATATAGTGGCTGCACCAGTTTACATTCCCAACAACAGTGTGTGAGGACTCTCTTATTTCCACATCCTTTCCAATACTTATTTGTTGTCTTTTTTATAATAGCTGTTCTGACAGATGTGAGGTGATCATTATGGTTTTGATTTTTTTGACTTCAATTTTTCCAATAATTAGTGATGTTGAACATTTTTTATATACCTGTTGGTCACTATTTTCATTTTGAACTTGAGAAAAGATAAAATCCCATTTATTATGATGTGTTTTTTGTTTTGTGCTTTAAGGGCAAGAAGAATATAAAAAGAAAAGACTTATCTGGCTTTAATTGGCTTTCATTTCTCTTGTCAAACGGGTGTGGGATTTTATTTGTATACACGTTCTAGTGGTCCTAAGCAACTCATTAAATCCTTAAACAGGGTAAGCTGTGGGGCAGCTTAAACGATCTATTGGGGAAAATCTTTTTTTTAATATGTTTTTGTTGATTTTTTTTTTTTTTTTTGACAGAGAGCAAGGGAGAGAGAAAAACATTGATGTGAGAGAACATTAATTGGCTGCCTCCTGCATGCCCCTTACTAGGATCGAGCCCATAATCTGGGCATCTGCCTTGACTGGGACTCAAACTGGAGACCTTTCAGTGCATGGGAAGATGCTCAACCCACTGGGCCATACCGGCCAGGACTATTAGGAGAAATCTTAATCAGGGAGTAATTGCTCCGTCTTGCCTAATTCTTTCCCTTCTGCTTCGTGTGCACTATAAAGTAAGCAGTGCATGCGAGGGTAAGCCTAGTGGTTAGCAAAAAGGAAAACTTTGTAAGCCCACTCTGCCATCTCAGCACTGGTTCAGGTCCATCATTTGGCCACAGCCTGTTTGATTTTCTAAAATAATCCAAGGAATCCCTTTTCCATGAGTACTCTCAGGCTCTCCTTTGTTGAGTAGCCTTTAACCTCAGCACATTCGTGAAATGTGAACATCATGACTTCCATGGCGTCTTCCATTTGAGATGGCATTTTGGTGAAGTCTTGGCTGGAGGCGTACCGGACTGCGAGGCTGACTGGAACATGGGGCCAGTCAGTACTGTTATATGACTTGTACTACGTTATAAAATTGATGCAAATCTATGCATAATACAAGTGTGACTGTAGCATTGAAACTTAAACACTTTCAATGACTGTTAGCTTCTAAAGGTAACTATCTTAACAAAGATACATGCTTATTTTAGAGAGATTTTAAATTCATAAGACTTGATGGAATTCTTCTTTTGGGTTCCACCTTGAAACCCAATTTGAGCCATATATTTCTTAAAAGCCACGTGTCCTGTCTTACCCAAACAATCTCCTTTCTGGATCAAGAGCTATGTTGGCCAGTGTTGGCGTGAGTGCTTGAATTGTTTCTTAACACAGTTACTCTCAAAGGACAAGCGTTTGCTGCCATGCAAGATGGCCATACTCTGGGACTCGAAAAATCTTTCAGAAGAGAAGTTTTGAGTAGAGGTAGCATCCCCAAAAATAGCATCATCAGTAATTTGAGGTGTGTTTTTCCAACATTAGACTTAAAAAAAAAAAAGTCATTTATGATCTTCACGGACATAACCACATCTTTATGTCAGCTTAGTCATTGCCTTGTGTGTGCTGTAACGATATATAAGATGAAGAGTTCTCTTGATTTTGTTGAATACTTCATGGTTTGAAACTCAACAAAAGTCTCAGTATTGATGCATTTACTACTGCTCAACAAACAAATTTTGTTGCTGGTAGTACCTCAGGACAGGGTTTATTTGGCCATTTTTATGTCGGAGAGATGGGAGACTTCAGGAAGTGTGGGTGAAGTCCAAGCTGATGGGATGCAGCCATGCTGAGATTTGAAAGAATTGCCTATCTAGGTACATTTTACTTCGCTTCTTAGCTGTGCGTGTTTCATTTGAAGTTAGAAGCAACCTCATTTTACCTCCCCAAAATGCTTCCTTGACTTAACCTCCCAGGTTTAAATTTTGAGAACAACAGTTCGGTGTCCCGGTATGGAGCCTCTGAAGTTGAAGATATGGGGAATATAATCTTAGCAATGATTTCAGAGCCTTACAGTGAGTATCACCGTTGTAACGACGTACACCTAGAGTTTGACCCCACCCTCTCTCCCTCACCTATGCTTTTGAATTTCCTTCCATCACCTATCTCTCTAATAGCTAAAATGATGACGTGTGTGTTCTCATTTTTAGATCACAGGTTTTCAGACCCAGAGAGAGTCAATTACAAATTTGAAAGTGGCACTTGGTGAGTGTTGGAGCCTTTTGGTTTGTTTCATTCGCTTTGTGACATTTAACTTCCTTTATTCTTTGGCTATCCATTTTTCACAGAGCAGGTCATTCCTAGAAGAAGGTTTATCTTAAACTGTGCTTGGATGTCGGGATTAACATTTAATGAAATATTTGCATCCTTAGTCACTGTGACCTTAGGTACAGCAGCATGTGTTTGTGTCTGTGATTACTGTAGCCTCTCTGAACTATCCATTCTCTCACTGGAAAACTTCCAAAGGGGAAAATCATAGGCTTTACAGGAGTTCACAAGGGTCTTTCCTGAGATAATTTGAAGTATGTTCTATCAGCTTCTACTTTAAAGCAAAGGAAATAACTGGGGAGGAGTAGGAGGTGGTGGTATCTCTGTTTGTGATCACAGGCAGACCTATTTAAGTTTGTAAATCACTGCAGTGAATTGTGTGAGATTGCCTGGTGCCTGACATGAACAGAACCTTCTGGCATCTTTGCCCACAGAGAGACTTTGAGGCCTATTTAGTTGTAGAGAAAGTGACTCACTAGGAAAATGTCCTAGGAGTACTGAAAATATGAATGTGGGAGGAATAGAACATCAAAAGGTGTTCAAAATATATCATAGGTGGTTTGCAAATGACTCATTAAGGGGTGTGGGCACTCCTGGGCATTTCCGTAAACACTGTCTGTGATGGCTCCCCTGTTTGATAGAGGAGATATTTTAATGGCAGACTTGTGACCGTGCACACACATTCCTGACGTGGGTTAACCGCCAGCTTCATGCACACCTTAAATTTTGCTATCAAAGTGGGTTTAAAACCCTCCGGTGTCCTGGCCAGTTCTGAGGATGAATTTAAGCCTGTCCTTCTTGGCTCTGAATTCTCCCAAGCCATCCGGATGTTGGGAGAACTCTGCTTTCTCAGAATCGATCCTGGGCCCTTTCGAGTGTATGGCAGGCAAGCAGCGACTCAGCTGATGGATGGATTGCAGGGGGAGCTAGCGTGTTGGATCTGTACAGCCAGTTGTCTTTCTGTAGTGAACCACCTAGACATAACTTTGAATTGTGCCCAGATAATCTTTGACTTTACGCAGTAAATTAGGCAAGATTAAAAGTCTGTCCACACTCCAAAAGAATAACACTTCATGTGTGAATAGGCAAATTGTCTTACTGGGGGTAAGAGGTCAGACGCCCTAGCTTTAATCATGCAACCTGAAGTTTCGCTTGATCCACAGCAGCAAGATGGAACTTGTTGACGACAACACGGTAGTCAGAGCCCGGGGTTTGCCGTGGCAGTCTTCGGATCAAGATATTGCAAGATTTTTCAAAGGACTCAATATTGCCAAGTTGGTTTTCTTTCGTCTCTTATTTTTTACTTAACAATCCCAAAGGGATCATGGGTTGCCCATCATTTTTCCCCTGACTGTATTTTTTTTTTTTTTTTCCTACTGCTCCCTGTTCTGATCTTTCTAAAGGGGAGGTGCAGCACTTTGTCTGAATGCCCAGGGTCGGAGGAATGGAGAGGCTCTGGTTAGATTTGTGAGTGAGGAGCACAGAGACCTCGCACTGCAGAGGCACAAACATCACATGGGGACCCGGTACATAGAGGTACGTCCTCACCACCTGAGACCCTGACATCTTGAGTGCAAACATTAGAAGGCTCAGAAACCGTATCTTAATTTCCCTTTCTTTTCCTAGGTTTACAAAGCAACAGGTGAAGATTTTCTTAAAATTGCTGGTGGTGAGTGCCTTTTATAAAATGTGGCTATAATAAGAATCTGAAACTTTGACCTATATGCCAAGGTTAGATAAGCAGTGTCTTGAATAGTTTTTAGTTCCCAATGAAACATAGAAATTAACTTTTTTTTTTTTTAATAGGAGGAAGAAAATGTCCAATAGTATCAGTAAGTGTAATGCATAACTCTTGCCCTAAGGCTTGAGTCAACCCACTATAGTTAAATAGCCATTAAAAGTAGGATTACACAAAGTGAACGGGTCATATAAAGTTCATGTACAAAGGGGGAAAAGTAGTTCTTAAAAGAAATGAGGTAGTCTGAAAACTACTTTTAAACAGCCAAGTAGAATACCTGGCATTGTTGCATATCTGCTGCTAGTTTTTCTCTAAATTTCCTTAATTCATCAATGGCCACGACTATGGTAGCTTTCTGGCATCTGGTATTTTAGGATACGTGGCGTAAGTCTTTATCCAATTCTTGGGTGATTTGCAACTTTAAAACCTAAAAATAACAGATGCATAAAAAAATGTTAACTAGGACTTGTCCAACAGATTTTTTTCTATACGTATAACTGCTCTGTAAGTTTCTATTGCTCTGTTCAGATTGCTTTATAACTCCCTTGCTCCTTTTAGCATATTGAATATCTTCCTATGTTACTCAATTTTCTTAAATGTTCATTACTATTCAGTATTATATGTACCATACATTTTTATTAAACATCCCTGTTGGGCATCTAGAGCTTATGTCCAATTCTTCATTCTTAAGTATGTTACAGTGAATATTTTTGTGTCTATGTATGTGCCACTCATTGGGATGAGTGTCTAAAAGTAGGTTAGCTGAATCAAAGGATGTGGGTGAGTCTTGGAAGAGACCTTGGATACCTATTGCCAAAATATACTAGGGTAACTTTCACTTAAGTACAGAGGACATTTGTACCCCTGCATTATGTAGCGCTGGTAAAAAAATTTTGCCATTGTAGAACTTGTAGCAGCAGCTTCTGGTTTACACAATTTGCTGGCATAATTCTGTTCTCGAACTTATTTCTTGAGATAAACCACGGCTTCCAAATTTAGAGCTTCAAGTTTAATAGTGTTTCCAAAGTAATGTTTGGTATTGGTTGAGGATAGAGTGTGTTTTGAGTTGCTATGATTCTGAGGTCCTATGATAGATAACATTGTAAGTTGCAGGTGGCAACGTTATTAATGTTCAAGTTAATACCTAGTATTTCATGGTATGTGAGCAGTATAAGTAAGGGAAAATATTGCTAGTGTAGAGCTTGAATGATGTGCATTTGAGTATTTGCTACATGGCCATACTGTACAAAATGCTTTATGCTAGGCAGAAATGTGAATAAGTGTTGAAACTAACTGCTAAGTATATTTATTATACTATTCTCTGTACTTGAGTATGTGTTAATCTTTCTTAATAAGAAGTAATCAGAAAACAATAACAAAAATCACTAAAGTACTTTATATATAATAACTTATAATTTATGAGATAGGTAATTTTACCCTCATTTTACAGATGAGGAAGCTAAGTCACAGAGGTTAAATTTTTCCAAGTCCTGTGTACCCTAGTAAAATGGTAAAGCCAAGATTGGACCCAGGCATTCTGGCTCCAGGACCTATGCCCTTAACCATCATGATGATTAATTGCCTCTCCATGAGAAGAATATGGTGGCTGGTCCATAATTGAATTGTCTGGTTATCCTCCTAATTGAGAAGTGTTTTATGAAAATGGTAGGGGGAAAGTTTTAAGACTGTGGGAAGAGAATTCTTTTTTCCTGGGTTGTTACTAAGAAACTCAACTGGGAGTGTGGGACTTCATTACAAATTCAAGACCTTGCCAAGAATTTTACCATTTCAAACTTGGTGAAGTTGATGTCCTAATCATTTCTCCCCCTGCTTCCTCATCTTTGTGTTTCCTAGGTACATCCAACGAGGTAGCCCAGTTTCTCTCCAAGGAAAATCAAGTCATTGTCCGCATGCGGGGGCTCCCGTTCACAGCCACGGCTGACGAAGTGGTGGCCTTCTTTGGACAGCATTGCCCCATCACGGGGGGGAAGGAGGGCATCCTCTTTGTTACCTACCCAGATGGCAGGCCCACGGGGGATGCTTTCGTCCTCTTTGCTTGCGAGGAGTATGCACAGAACGCGCTGAGGAAGCACAAGGACTTGCTGGGTAAAAGATACATTGAACTCTTCAGGAGCACAGCAGCTGAAGTTCAGCAGGTTGGTTTTTAACAGCGTGTTGGTGGTTTTGCATTATTTCTATTTATTTCCGGAACCAACCCTACACTATTCGTTGTTAAAATAAAATCTTACTCTGTAACAAAATGATAGCCACTGTTAGCCTGTGTACACACATACAAAAATACCAGGTGTTTTTATATAACTGGGATGCTGCTATAGATATTCTTTTGTATTCTGTTTCAAAAGTATATATCTGGCCTGGTCGTTGTGGCTCAGTGGTTGAGCATCGACCCATGCACCAAGAGACCATCGGTTCGATTCCTGGGCAGGGCACATGCCCAGGCTGCAGGGTCAGTCCCGGGTAGGGACTGGGCAGGAGGGAGCCAATCTTTAGCTGTGTTCATTCTTTGTTTATTTGTCACTTCTTACTCAGAGAGCAGCTGTGAACGGGGGTGAGTGAGGAAATTAGGGCAAATTTTCAGGTGTCTTTTGGTTGCTATATTTTTAGTTTATAGGATGATTAAGTTTGCAATGGTAAATTGTTCAGAAAATCCGGGGATGCCACACATGGCATTTGCACAGTATTATCAAATAGAGGGCATGTTCTAAACTAAGACAAAAATCTGCAAGAGCTTTGAATTTTGCATGGGAACGTTTTTTTTTCTCCAAAATGAACTTGACCACGTTCATTCTCAAGATAGTTAAATTTCTTGTATTTAAAAGTCAAGATCCTCTGCCTTGCCAGTGTCTAAAGTTCACATGGAAGCTAGTGATTATTTTTATGGTCACTAAATTATTATTTTTTCAGTTTCACATTGCCGTTCTATCTTTTTGCTTTATATATTATTTACTTTGTAAATGTGGCATTATAGTTTAATATAATCCAGAGTCACTGTTTTACCTGTGGTTCCATTACTGGGCTATTCTCCTTTTACTTCTTGGGTTTGGAGCAATGTGAAGCAATACTACTTAAATAAAATGAAACTGATAGATTGCTACAGTAGTCCATGATTAGCCATCCCAGATATTTATGCAAGTGATAGATTTTAAGGATAGTTGTCCCAAGGCAGATAGTGATGTGTTTGTCGAGTAGACGAGTCCTTCATCTAAGCAGATTTGTGCTGTGTGTGGTACATACCTCAGCACACATTTGCAAAAGTGGGTCTCACGCTTGCCCTGATGCAAAGCATGAAGCCCTTTCTCCATGAGTGCGTCTCAAACTTTCATATGCTATGCCTTACCTGGGGACCTTGTTAAAATGCAGGTTTATATTTAGTAGATTTGGGGTAGAGCCGAGATTATGCGTTTCTCACAGGCTCCTCCCCCAGTGATGCCAGTGCTGGTCTGCAGACAGCCTTGGCAAGGCAAGACTGAGTCCCTTCTGTTTTGCTTTGAGTACAGGTGCTGAATCGATTCTCCTCGGCTCCTCCTCTCATTCCGCTTCCGACCCCGCCCATTATTCCAGTACTACCTCAGCAGTTTGTGCCCCCTACAAACGTTAGAGACTGTATACGCCTTCGAGGTCTTCCCTATGCAGCCACAATCGAGGACATCCTGGACTTTCTGGGGGAGTTTTCCACAGATATTCGAACTCATGGAGTTCACATGGTATTGAATCACCAGGTAAGAAAGTCACTTAGCTCGAAAACTGATTTGCTTATCATTATCATCAAAGAGTCTCTCCCCTTAAAAGAGTGCAAATGTTTGTCAGTTTTGTAGTTAGCCTTGCAGGAAAGATGTAACTATAAATGCGAGAGGTCTTTAGGATGAACTCCAGAAAGAATGCTGTCATCATTACGGTAAATACAAATTTGAGTCTGATTCTGTCATCACGTATATCCATCAGATTCTCAGTAGCATCACATAGTACACATCAGTCTAATACAACATTTTACTGTTGCTACTGCTGAGCTCTGCAACGCTGCTGTCATAGTGTGAAAGCAACCGTGGACAAGATATACCCATGAGCTTGTCTGTTCGAGAGTATTTTGTATCCATAGACTGTTTAGAAAACGTGTATGTGTGTTACATATCAAATTACGTTCAGTAAAGTACAACCTCAATAAAGACTAGTATCTGTACCAGCTAGAATAGGATGTGGTCATAACAGGCACTCAAATGTATTAATGAATTATTTCATAGAAACCTATCAAAATCTAACCAAATTCTGTGGTATGCAAGTATACGCTCTAAGCATATTAAAAATCATTCCTGGCTTAGTGTCCCTTAATTTGTGGTTTAAATATAATTAATCATCTTTGTTGCTGGACAATATGCCAGTATTTTGTGCTGTCATAAGCAGGACAGAATCCTCAAAACCTATAAACCCAGTAGTCCTAATTAAAAATTTTGCAACTCTTTATTCAAAGCGAAGTTGTATTAATCTTTGAAAATGAGATGTTTCTGATCAATGATGGGTTTAATACGGGTTTGTATTGGAAATGCCAACGTTTTTCTAAACTGCTAGTGTTCCATTTTCCCTTCCACATGGAGATTTGGTCATATTTGAAAGCATAATCCTGCCTCACTGGGAAGTGCATGTCACTGGGTACAGGCAGTCGGAAACTCCTGAACCCCTGCTTGGGTTTCCACACCAGCACATGCTAGGTCCCCTCTCAGCATGCTTCACTGGTGAAAGTCCTTTTGAAGAAAATGCCCCACAATTGTCCATAAATCCCCACCAGGGATTGGTTTGGTTTTTCTTTTGAGTCACCATTTCTAATAACCTAGGGGCTATTACTTTTTAACTAATAACAGTAGACAGATTGACCTATCATTGACCCACATGACCTATTGTGATTGCACTTGGGAGAAATGCTTCTTAGATGATGGACAAGCTGCCTCAAAGATGTTAGGTTTCCCTCTTGGACTGGGTTTCCCTGGTATCCCTGATTTCCCTGGTTTGGCAACTCGTATGGTAACTTGCATGGTAATCATTTGCACTAAATAGTCCCTGAGAGACTTTTAAAGAAATCCATAACTATGAAAGAATTCCTATAAGCTGATTGTGTCTTTTTCTCCCCCCCATAAAATGTCCATGCTAAATATAACTAAGGCATTCCAGTTCTGTGGAACACATCTATCAGCTTGGTTCTAAATAGGAGATTTTTAGCAAGCTACTTGTCATAGAGAAAATTACTATCAGCACCTGTTTGACTAAGATTTAAGATGGAGATGCATGGGCAGAGGCGAGAGAAGGGCTTCCAGACTAGGCTGGTGGCACTGCTGTCCCCAGCCTGAACTGTGCTTGGCCACTGCCCATTTCCTGTCTCCCTTCCTTGCCCCAGGCCACATTCCAACCTAGGCTGCAGGGAGAAGAGAAAGGTATGTTGCAGGTCAGTGATGGACAGAACTGAGAGCCGAAAGAGAACACTCGTTCATCCAGTTTCTTACAGGAGGATATGTAAGGCTCTAGTACGCATTCTCTTATCAGCTTTTCTCAATCAAACGTTATAATTGGATTTTTCAGAAGTGCAAGACCCAATACACAATCCTATACTTTGAAACCACAGTTACAAGGAGACCTCGTCAACCCTTTGTAAATCTGATAACTAATAGAAACCAAGAAGGATCACTTTCTCCCACGAACCCTCAAAACTGTTTCTTCCATGTTTTGCGGGCCATTCTGGTAATTAGGGGATGAAATGCCAGTCTGATTTCAGGACAGCACACTGTCACCCAGATTTTGTGCCTACAGTGTTTGTGCTGTGGGTGATTGTCACTTTGCATGTTTTGAAAGCAACCATTTCCTCATTGAAGGAGACGGTCTCCTTTTGTTTTTTATTCTTCCCCCGCACGCTCAGGGCCGCCCATCAGGAGATGCCTTTATCCAGATGAAGTCTGCGGACAGAGCATATTTGGCTGCACAGAAGTGTCATAAAAAAACCATGAAGGACAGATATGTTGAAGTCTTTCAGTGTTCAGCTGAGGAGATGAACTTTGTGTTAATGGGGGGCACTTTAAATCGAAATGGCTTATCCCCACCGCCATGTAAGTTACCATGTAAGTTTTTCTTGGGTCTTGGCGCTCTTCTACGCTATATGCTGGTAGGTGCTTAAGCTGCTTTCTGTGTTCCTGGTTCTTTCTGAGGCAGGCAAGGTGGTTACGTAGGCTTTCCCATCTGAAATCGGTAGTATCTGGGAATCATTGAAGACCTTGGTTGCGGACACCCCCATAATTAGAGATGCTACAAATACCTCCTTTCCAATTATATTCTCGCTTTCCAGTGATATAAGCCCTTGATTTCTGAAGCTTAGTGTGCTCAAGATAAGCACTGACTCTGGGAGGCAACCTGGCTATTGTAGATATTTTAATACGCATTTAAAGGTAAAATAAGTATGGCCGGATCTTTATTTTTTTCTCCTGTAACCCAGGAAGCTTTCTGTAGAAGGGTCATTTGATACCCATTTTGCATTTCTAAGTCACTGAGCATTAAGTATTTTTGGATAGGATAACTTGGGGAGCATTTCTCTTGCTCTCCAGGATATCTGGAATGAGCAAGTTAGTAAAACAAAATATATAAATGCGTAAATAAATTAGCCAAAGTTTCCATTGGATCACAGGATCAGTGCTTAATTTCAAGACATGCTCTTGCGCATTGGCCCCTGGGTGCAAGCCCTCTGGAACCCCAATTGAGAGGAATAAGCCCTGTAGTCTGAAGACCAAGTTCTGGTTAGTCATGAGTGTTAAAACTTCAATCTTTGGACAGTTTTCACTTTCGAATAAAACATACCTGTCAGGAGGCATGTTGGGTATGTTTGAAGCGTGTAGCACTTGGAATACAGTCCAGAGATAATGGAGACAGTAAACTGGATGATGTGCTTGATTCCAATAAAATGGGGAGTGTTAGAGAACATTTCTTTCTAATACAGAGAAATCCATACCAAGAAACCTATTTCAATAAGTGTTAATTCAGAGAATATTCAGTGGGGCTTAATCCTTTTTTTCCCCCTTGGAATTCCTAAATGCTAATATTCCATTTACCTGCTGCTTGCTGTTGGTGAATATCTAAGAGTTGATCTAATGAGCATCAAGTTTTGAAAGTTTATGATTGGGTTTAAGTAGTAACATATATATATTTTTTTAATATGTTTTTATTGATTTCCGAGGGGAAGGGAGAGGGAGAGAGAGAGAGAGAAACATCAATGATGAGAGAGAATCATTGATTGGCTGCCTCCTGCATGCCCCACACTGGAGACCAAGCCTGCAACCCAAGCATGTGCCCTTGACCAGAATCGAACCTGGGACCCTTCAGTCCGCAGGCCAATGCTCTATCCACTGAGCCAAACTAGCTAGGGCTAAGTAGTTATCGTAAAGTAATCTTAGTCACATGTATTCTGTCCATAAGCCACTGATTATGTCAGTAACTTTTATGATTTCTCTTAGTGATAATCTATCGAGTGTTATGAGATAAGGGAATTTTTCCTTCATGTGTAACCCAAATTCTGCTGTGATATCATTTTATTTCTCTCTTCCTGGTGCAAAACTGGTCATTACACTTTCTTCATAAGACTTTTCATTTCTTCCCTTTCTCCCTCAGAAGCCCTAAAATAATAAACATGATAAATGTATTTTTCACATAAAAATATATTTACACATTTTTACTATTAATATTTTCCCAAAATTTTAACTAAAATTTGGCCATTTTCCATTTTAGTGAAAGAGTTCACTTATTTTTTAGTTTAAGTCAGAATTCCAGTTTGTGCTAATGTTACGCCTGTTCTACTGGACTGTTCTTTTCCTGCCGACTCACATTAGGTGATTGCCTATTTATACAACAACCAAAAAATTTACAGAAATTGCATTGTTTTTTATATAATCTCAAGGACTAATACAGTTAAAATAGTGATTAGTTATGACTCACTGAGGAGTTTCTTACTGAATTTGGGAAAGACGTGCTGCTAAAGTATCATTGTTTTAAAGTTGTAAACTTTAATTTGTTTATAAAAATTTAACTTTTCTAAAAGCTGAGCATTTTAATTTCACCTCCATGTTTCTAGTCTATGAAAGTATACTCCTTATTCTCTTTTAGGAATATGAGAATAGCTGTCCTATCATTTGAGGAATACCCAAATCTGAGTAGACTAATATGTTTAGTTATTAAAAATTACTACTTTTCTTTGTTTTAAGGCAGAAAAGACTTATACCTACTATATATATATATATCTGTCTTCTTGGTTTGAGATACTGTCATTAATGAATTGCTGGATAGTTTTGAAAGCAGGAAATACACACAGGCTTTATAATTTTTTATGTGACTGGTGCCTTAACTTGTCCTGATTGCCCTTTTAAGGCCAGGAATCATAATTTTAAAATTCATGTACATGTAGCTCGATTTTCAGTGAGTATGAACGAGGTATCCAGTAGGTGAATACGAGGTCGATATGTGTACCCATATGCAGCTGACCGCCTACTCCTCTCCATACACATGTAGAAACACACAAGACTTGCAGAAGACGGGAGAGATTTTTCATGTGAAAAAGTTATCCCTAATGCCTCTGAAATTTGCAAAATAGAATAGGTCATTCCAGGTGTGCAAATTACAGTTAGGAACCCTGCCCTAGCCGATTTGGCTCAGTGGATGGAACGTTGGCCCGAGGACTGAAGGGGTAGGGGTCCCAGGTTCGATTCCAGTCAAGGGCATGTGTCTCAGTTGCAGGCTCGACCCCCGGCCCTGGTTAGGTGACCTGTACTGCGGTAGGTGACCAGTTGACGTGTCTCAGTCTCTCCCCATCCCTTCCACTTTCTTTGCAAATCAATGGAAAAATAGCCTCTTGAGGATTCACAAAAAAACAAAGTTAGGAACCCTCAATTCAGGCAACCTCTCAGTTACCTCATTGTTGGGTACAGATGGCCTGGATAGTGTTCATCTCACTTAGTGAGTTAGGGAACCAGAAAACAAAGGAATTTCATTCGTTCTCTTTTCTATATAATCTGAGTATACAATTTACTGCTGAGTCTCAGGAAGACTTACACTTCTGTTTCTCAGGGCTAATTCCCAGGTTGGATTTTTTAAAACATGTTTGTATTGATTTGAGAGAAGGGAGAGAGAGAAGAAGAAGGGAGAGGGATAGACAGATAGAAACATTGATGAGAGAGAAACATCGATCGATTGGCTGCCTCTTGCATGCCCCCTACCAGGGATTGAGGCCACAAACCAGGCATGTGCCCTGACCAGAGTAATCCATCTGTGACTTCTTTGTTCATAGGGTGACTGATGCTCAACCCCAGAGCCACATTGCCTGTGCCCAGGTGGTTGTTTTGTTTTTGTGGTGTTTTTTTTTTATAAGTTTGAAGGTGTAGATTAGCTTCAAATTTCATCATCTGGGTTACCGTTAGGTGGAAATAATGCAAAGTTAATCCAGCTTTTAGTTGGAAATTATACTAAATGTCAGCCCTATGCTTCTTTCCTCAAAGTTTTTGTGGTAACTGGCACTCAATCGTAGGGGGGGAGGAAATCACATGTCAAGAAATGGTTGAGCTGATGTTTGATGGTACTGGTTTTTTCCAACTTTTAGACCAAGAACGGTTCTGTAGGTTGATGGAGTGTGAGAATTGAGATTACTTCTAAGTTTTGTCTGTATAACCAAAGGAAGTTGCATGGGGTAGTATAAAGATTTGCTCTCTTACTTTAAAGGAATATATATGTATACGTGTGTGTGCGCGCGCGCGCGCGCGCGCGCGTGTGTATGCGCAATAGTAACCTATGGCTTGAGTGTTAAGCACACATGCGTCAGCTGTTACAAATGTCTCAAAGTGTCTCTCTCTGCTTATGTAGGCCTGTCTCCTCCTTCCTACACATTTCCAGCTCCTGCAGCTGTGATTCCTACGGAAGCTGCCATTTATCAGCCCTCTCTGCTTTTGAATCCACGAGCACTGCAGCCCTCCACAGCATACTACCCAGCGGGCACCCAGCTCTTCATGAACTACACAGCTTACTATCCCAGGTGAGGCTATGACGGAGTGGAAATGAGGGACAGAAACAAATGACTCCTTTGATGGCCGCTGCCTGAGTTCACAAAAGACTATTGTCTGCCACGTTGAAGGTTACCATGGTAGGCAATAGCTTCTGGTCATCTCTAAGCAAGAAGGTCCTTTTAAGACAAAGCAAAATAAGTTGTGTGTTTTTTCTAAACCATATATTAACAACATCTTTTAGGCTATTTTTGTATACAACTTTGCTTTTCTCCTTTCTTAGGGCCCTAAGTGAGGGGCACTGTGATCATTGCAATAGGGTGGCAGTATCTTGTGAATGAATTTTAAAAAAGCAAACACTAAGAAAATCCTTAACGATAACAATTATATTTTTAAATAGCATTAACTCCTGTTACCCCACAATAAATAAAAACAGTTCTTTTAAACTGTACACAACTTGTATTCTTTCACCCCTAAGTCTTTACTAACAAGTCCAAAATGAGACTTATTTAGAACTTCCTTAGAATCAAATTTTTTATTTTTTTCTGGATTCTAGGGGAAAAAATTTTAAAAATTATAGTTGATATACAATATTATTCATTTCTTATGTACAACATAGTGATTAGACATTTATACAACTTACAAAGTGATCATCCCGATATGTCTAGTACCCACCTGATACATACGTAATTAGTACAATTTTATTGACTATATTATAACTGCCAATATGTACTTCCTAATTCCTTCATATTTTTCACCCACCCCTTCAAACCTCCTCCCATCTGGTAACCATCAATTTGTTCTTTGTATCTGTAAGTTAGTTTTTGTTTTGTTTGGTCATTTATTTTGTTTCTTAGATTCCACATATGAATGAAATCATTCCATATTTGTCTTACGCTAAGTGAAATAAGTTAGACAAAGACAAATATGGCATGATTTCAACCATCCATGCTATTATAAATGGCAAGGTATTTCCTTTTCATGGTCAAGTACTATTTTATTATATACATGAACCACAACTTTTTTATCCAGTTGTCTATTGATGGGCATTTGGGTTACTTCCATATCTTGGCTCTTGTAAATAATGCTGCAGTGAACCTAGGGAGGCATATATATCTTTTTGAATTGGTGTTTTTCTTTTCTTTGGGTAAATATCCAGAAGTGGAATTGCTTGGGTATATGGTAGCTCTATTTTTAATATTTTGAAGAACCTGTATACTGTTTTCCTTAGTAATACCACCATCCCACCAACAATTCATGAGGGTTCCTTTTTCTCCAAATTCTCATCAACACTTGTTGTTTGTTGCTTTATTGATAATAACCATTCTGATAGATGTGAGGTGATGACCGATTGTGGTTTTAATTTGTATTTACCTGCTGGTTAGTGATGGTGAGCATCTTTTCATATATCTATTCGCCATCGGTATGTCCTCTTTGGAGAAATGTTTGTTTAGGTCCTCTGTCCATTTTTATATATATATATATATATTTTTTTTTTTTTTTTTTATTGATTTTTTACAGAGAGGAAGGGAGAGAGATAGAGAGTTAGAAACATCGATGAGAGAGAATCATCGATCAGCTGCCTCCTGCACATCTCCCACTGGGGATATGCCCGCAACCCAGGTACATGCCCTTGACTAGAATCGAACCTGGGACCTCTCAGTCCGCAGGCCGACGCTCTATCCACTGAGCCAAACCAGTTTCAGCCCTCTGTCCATTTTTTAAAATATATTTTTTTATTGATTTTATAGAGGAAGGGAGAGGGAGAGAAAGAAACATCAATGATGAGAGAGAGTCATCCCTCACACATACACACTCGGGATCGAGCCCAGAACCTGGGCATGTACCCTGATTGGGAATCGAATCATGACCTCCAGGTTCATAGGTCGATGATCAACCACCAAATCACACCAGCAAGGCTGTCCCATTTTTTAATTGGATTGTTTGTTTTTGATGTTGAGTTATATGAGTTCTTTATAATGTTTTTTAAATATAAATTTTGGATAGTAACCCTTTATTAAATGTATCATTGGTGAATATCTTCATTCAGTAGATGGTCTTTTTGTTTTGTTGCTAGTTTCCTTCCTTGTGCAAAAGCTCTTTATTTGGATGTATTCCCAGTTTTTTCTTCTGTTCCCTTTCCCTGGGAGACATATCCCAACAATATTGCTATGAGGGATGAGAGATGTTACAGATTTTCCTGCATATGTTTTCTTCTAGGAGTGTTATGGTTTCAGGTATTATATTTAAATCTTTAATCGATTTTGAGTTTATTCTTGGATATGACATAAGAAAGTGTTTCAGTTCCTTTTTTTTGTTTGTATCTGTCTAGTTTTCCCAATACCATTTATTGAAGAGACTGCTTTTATCGTGTCATTCAATACTCGTTTTATATATTTAGGTCCTTTTGGTACTCCTTTGATGTGAATGTTGGCACACTTGATGTTTTCCCCAAAGTCCCTTACATTATTCTCATTATGTAAATGCTTCCTTTTTCTCTTTTGATATTCCAATTGGGTGTTTTCCACTACGTTATATTATAGATCACTGATACTATTTTTTTTTTTTTTCCCAGTGACACAGATCTAAGTTTATTGTGTAAGTGCAGCAGTATATATAACATTTTGGACCAATCAGAAGTTTACACAATCCTTAGGGCAACCAATAGTAGGAAAGATCAGGGTACTATGTAGGGGCTCTAGGGGGCTTACTCAGGCGGGCGCTGCCACTTCCCGGTGTGCCGAGGAAGCTTGTATAGGCGGAGTGTGCTCACTCCATTGCATCTGCCACTGCACTGAGATAAATCTCCTGAGCTCTTGCCACAGATTGGCACTTTCCGCTACTACCTGAGTCCTGATCTATCACCCCAGGGAGAGCTTGCCAATCCTGCACTTTCCTGGGTTGGAAAGGCTGCAGTGGGGTTAAGGATAAGGCTCCTTGGGCCTACCTTCTCCCATGCCTCTACATTTACCTTTCCTTCCTCAGAAAAGCATGGACATACTTCTTGTGTAAAACATTCTGTCTGACTGGGAGTAACCTTAACTCCTCTGCTAGCAAGCATATGTGTTAAAAGATCAATACGGAGTCTTTTTTCTTTAGACTCAGTATGGTACATCTTCTTAATCTAAAGATCAATGCAGAGTCTTCTTTCTTTGGACTCAGTATGGCACATCTTCTTTTTTTTTTTTTTTAAATATATTTTATTGATTTTTTACAGAGAGGAAGGGAGAGAGATAGAGAGTTAGAAACATCGATGAGAGAGAAACATCGATCAGCTGCCTCCTGCACATCCCTACTGGGGATGTGCCCGCAGCCCAGGTACATGCCCTTGACCGGAATCGAACCTGGGACCTTTCAGTCCGCAAGCTGACGCTCTATCCACTGAGCCAAACCGGTTTCGGCGGCACATCTTCTTAAAATTTAAGTTCTGTACTATCTACCTTCTTACCCTACTTATCCTCTATAGGGGGGTCTGCAGCACCCTGGCGGAGTCCTATCTGTCCCGAGTGTGGGGGTTCTCAATGGGGGAGAGGGGACTTACCTAGGGGAATCCTGTTCCATGGGTTCTCAAAGGTGTGGACGGAGTCGGCGAAGACTATCCACCCTTTTCCTACGGTGGAGTCCTATCCGTCCCGAGTGCAGGGGGGCTTACCTAAGGGTCTCTGTTCGAGCACCATATGTTGGGGTCCATCCCCAGCAGGTACAGGGGTTCCCATAGGTAGGGATGGAGTCGGTGAAGAAGGAATGACATGGAGGCAGTGTTCAGTTGATCAGCATAGCGAGTTTCTCCCTCCAGGATCTACAGCCAATTTCTGTCACGATACTATTGTTTTATTTTAATTATTATTGATTTGAGAGAGAGATAAACATTGATTTGTTGTATGCATTCTTATATGTACCCTGACTAGGGATCAAACCAGCAACCTTGGTATATTGGGATGATCCATTATGTTTAATTCTTTTATAGAGTTTTTAGGGTCCCTGGCAGGTCTAATTGCCCATGATTCTCACTTGAATACATAAGGACCTCTCATTCTTAATTTTCTTTTTATAAAATTTATTAAAAATCTTTGTTAATCCAATAACCAGTTCAGTTTATTAAAATTTTACTTTAACAAGCAATATTGCTCAAAATTTTAAAACTTTTATCAGGTTTTGTTGTTTTCTTCCCCAGCTGTTTAGACTAAATGTTTTGAGTACGTCCACCAATATGTGACTTTTTAAAAAAGTGTCCTGGAACTAACACATCTGATTCCTACAGTTGCTATGTTGCATTGTATTTTTCTTTCCTCTCCATCTCTAGTATTTTAGTAGGAAGGAAGAACTTTGGAATCTCAGTAGCAGTGAAGCTTGTAGCCACATTATTGAAACTATTCTTTATTCTACTGGGGGGAAAAAGAATCAGGAGATAGCCATGATAATTGTAAGCTGGCCAGCTTTTAAAGGGTTGAAAAGACACAGAAGCATGTGTAATTAATTTTTCATCATTGAGTACTGTGTCAGGCACCTCTCCCAACTCCAATCTGTCACCTTCTGTGGACTCTGTGACAATCACTTGCTGGCAGTGGTTATAACAGAGGTCTTTGTTTACCTTTCTTACATCATTAGAATGTCAGGAGTGGAATGCATTGTTTCACTGCATACCTGGTGGAGTTTCTCATGCCTACAATACGTTTATTTGCAGAATATGCAGTTCCCTCATTGACTTGCTCTCTGGCACTATTAAAAAAAGGAATCTCTTAGAAATAATTTTCCACCACAGCGAGATGGAAAACTCTTGAATTGAAACCCCAAATGCAGGAGGAACTGACATGTATGGCTTAATAGCTCCTGTAATTTTGGGCCCCTGACTATATGTTAATTTTTTTTTTCCTTTATTAGTTTTAAAGTTTGTAAAATCCTCATTGTCAACTTTTTTTTTTTTTTTTAAATATATTTTATTGATTTTTTACAGAGAGGAAGGGAGAGAGATAGAGAGTTAGAAACATCGATGAGAGAGAATCATCGATCAGCTGCCTCCTGCACATCTCCT